GCAGGAATTGGTGTGTCCTGGCTTAGTGCCAGCAAGATCTGAGCTCTGTTTATCAGAGGTAAAGAAGTAATTAAAGGTTCAAGCGTCATCAGCAGCTTCTGTGTAATTAGTTCAGCTTTTGATAGGGCTGCAAAGCATGAGAGAGGAACAGAGGAGATTTGGCTCCAGAGCAGCAAGAGGTAGGAATTGGATGTGGGAATTTTTGTTGAGGGTTTGAAGGTGAGCTATAACCTGAAAATCAAATGAGATGTGAAGGGAAACAAGTCAAAACACAGAATTTCTCAGTTATTTTAGGCACACAAAATTCTAGTTGTTCTTTCTGATGGTTTTCTTGGTTTATTAGTCAGTCACACACAGGTTTGGGCTGGAAGAGACCTTAAGGGTCTTCTTGCTATACCCCCTGCCATGGGCAGGGACACCTTCTGCTAGCCCAGGTTGCTCCAAGCCCCATCCAACATGACCTGAAACACTCCCAGGGATGGAGCAGCCACAGCTGCTCTAGGAAAACTGTGCCAGTGCCTCAGCACCCTCACAGCCAACAATTCCTTCCCAATATCCCACCTGTCCCTGCCCTCTGGCAGTGGGAAGACATTCCCTGTGTCCTGTCCCTCCAGGCTCTTGTCCCAAGTCCCTCTGCAGCTCTCCTGGAGCCCCTTTAGGCACTGGAAGGGGCTCTACGTTCTCCCTGAAGCCTTCTCCTCTCTGGGCTAGACACCCCCAACTCTCCCAGCCTGGCTCCATGACAGTGAAGCTCCAGACAGGAGCCTCTGCTTTCCACATGCCTGGAAACCTCCTTCCCCAAAGCTATGATCAATGGCAGAGCTTCATATCTAGAGTTTGTCAACTTCCATCCATTTATTCCTGAATCAAAGTCAGTGGGAATTTCCCCCAGGATGCTCAATATCTGCTCAGAAAAGGGGAATACTTCTATTTGAAAGTTCTTTTTTACACCCATTCCACTCCCAAAGCATCTTGGAGCCACTTTACCCACTGGAAGGTGCTCGACAGTCATAGATTCACAGAACCCCAGAATGGTTTGAGTTGGAAGGACCTTAAAGCTCATCTTGTGGCAAAGAAGGTTCTCTAAGGTTTCCCTGGAGCTTCCCTTCTCCAGTCTGAACACCCCAGCTCTCCCAGCCTGTCTTCATTGGAGAGATGCTCCAGCCCTTGGAACACCTCCATGGTCTCTTCTGAACTCTCTCTAGCAGCTCCACATCCTTCTGCTGTTGGTGCCTGGACCTGGAGGCAGCAGTGCAATTGGGTCTTTCCTGAGTAGGGTAGAGGGGCAGAATCCTCCCTCACTTGCTGCCCACACTGTGGGATGATCCCAGGATCCAGTTGGCAATTAATTCCCAGAAGAGCACTTGAAAGTTGGGCATATCCAGATCAATCCTTGGCCTTTGAACAGATTTTCTCAGGTAACATCAACTCTTTCTTTCAGCATCCATGAGGAGAGAAATGGAGCAAACCTGCACCTTCTCCTGTGTGGGAGTGTAGGAAAACCTGAACTTTCGCAATCCTAACTCTCCATGGAGATTTTCTTTTTCCCTCCAAGTTTGATCCTCCTCGTGGCACATTGTGATTGCAGAGCCTGAGTGCAGGATTCCATTTGCAGTATTTACAATCATTATGCAATTAGACATAATTAGACTAATTATCCAAGCCAGGGAAGGAAATAGAGATATTTTTCTCCATCTCTGCAATCTGGGGACATGATCCAGAATTCCATTGGGAGCTCAGCCCACAAGTTCAGCTTGGAGTGAGGAGCTAAGGAGGGAATTGCTGGACTGGAACTGCTCTGTGTTTGCAGATCTCAATCCCTTTGGCAACTGGGATCAGGCCCTTCCCTAGCCCAGAGAAACCTCCTCAAAAAAGATGTTTATCCTTAGGAACACCTTTTCCATGGCTTGGCCTCACAAACACTACACCAAATGGGGTTAATTGGAATCTTATCATTTTGTGGAGTTGGTTACACATAGAAACCACTTCAGTTCCAGCATTCTAAGCGTCTCCCAAGTTGGATTTCAAGGACTGTTTCTTTTGCTGGCCCAGTTGGCTCTATCTTCTCTTTTATTGCCTGATTTTTTTGCTAGTTCTGTCGAGGCCTTTTCTCCAACTCCCTGTTTTTCCTGATATATTCCTGAGCTGTTGGTGCACATGAGATTAGTAACAGTAATTAAACACATCGCTCAAGCTTTGCTTGATATTCAAACCTGTTCAGCTTAACCGAGACATGAGAATTTCCCAGTCAGTTCATTGATGCTTTGTGAGTACTGCAATGGGAATTCCACATTTTCCAGTGTTCCCTTTGATGTGCCTGAAGGAGCTCTGACATTCCATGTCCTGTCTAAGTCTCTGTTCCATGGTTTACACTGCTGGCTAGAAATAGGATGCCGAAGAACTCATGTTCAAGGGAAAACAGGAGGATTTCTCTACCTTATGATATTTTGCTTCACTTAGATTGTACCTACAGGTATATTATCCCGAATAATGGTGTGACTTGACTCTGTCAAACCAATCTGCCTCTTGCTTTCCAGTCATGATGTTCCCTGTATCCCTCCTTCTCCTCTGACCTTTCCCCTTTATTCCCCTCCCAGGGAGAAACCAAGATCCTGAAGCTAAAGAACCTGCGCCCTCAGGACTATGCGAATTACAGCTGCATTGCCTCAGTGAGGAATGTCTGCAGCATCCCCGACAAGATGGTGTCCTTCCGCCTCTCCAACAAAACAGGTGGGTCTCCAGTGGGACTTCTGCCCGAGGCTTTCACCCACCTCTCTGCTTTGGGGTTCTTGCATGGAATCCCAGACTGGTTTGGGTTGGAAGGACCTTCAGGAACATCTTGTTCCAACCCCCATGGGCAGGGACACCTCCCACCAGCCCAGGTTGCTCCAAGCCCCATCCATCCTGGCCTGGAACACTCCCAGGGATGGAGCAGCCACAGCTGCTCTGGGCAACCTGTGCCAGTGTCTCACCCCCCTCCCAGCCAACAATTCCTTCCCAATATCCCATCTAACCCTGTGTCAGGTTGAAGCCATTCCCCCTTGTCCTGTCCATGCTGGACTATACCTACAACACAAACTTGTGTTAGAGTCTTGGGGGAACATCCAACTCTGATTCTCTGAGTTGAAGGCAGGTGAGCATTAGGGAATTTTTCCAGAAGAAAGGCTTATTCCCACCTTATTGATGTCATGTTTACTTGATAACTCATCCACCTTCATCCATGAGAAGGGTGTGGAAGTTGGTACCTCTCCCGTTTTCCAGAGCTGTTGGAGCCAGAGCTCTCTCTGTCCATGCTGGACCTCATCTGCCACAGAACTTTGCATTACAGTCATGGAGGGAACATCAGACTCTTATTTTCTGAGCTGAGGATGGTGATCAGGGTGGAATTTTGCAAGAAGAATGGCTTGTTCCCACCTTACAGATATGATGTTTGTTTGGGGAGCAGATTGTCTTGCTGCATTACTCTTCCAGAGGCATTTCCAGTGTAAACAAGGCTGAAAAATGGTAAGGATTCACACTTGCTTATGAAGAACTTGGTTGCAGCCATCAAGGGCAACATTAAATATGAGCCATGATTGCTGCAGCAGCTCATTAAAGGAAATGACTGATGTGTTGATGACTCTGAGACAAAACTTTGCTCAGTTAATAGGACTTCAATCTCATGCAGTTGTTCTTTGGTAGAACTTCGCCTGGTGTAACTGTGTAGGAGTGATATCCATTGGAAATCCAGTGTAATCCAGGATAAAGCCAAAGTAATGAAAATCAGAGATGAGGTTGAGCCTGTTTCAGTGTAGAGGTGTCCTAACCTGTCCATCTGTGTTTAATTTGAAGCTGGAGGCATGGAATGGAGAGACAGGCACAAGTGTCTACAAGGTGCAAACATGCACCAGATTTGTTGTACTTATTGTAGCTACAAGTGGGTTTATGTTCAATTGCAAAGTGTGTGATCATTGTTGTAAGGAACCCTTAAAGATCACCCAGTCCCACCTCCTGCCATGGGCAGGGACACCTTCCACCAGCCCAGGTTGCTCCAAGCCCCATCCAACCTGGCCTGGAACACTCCCAGCGATGGAGCAGCCACAGCTGCTCTGGGCAACCTGTGCCAGTGCCTCAGCACCCTCACAGGGAAGAATTTCTTCCCAATATCCCATCTAACCCTTTAAAACCATTTCCCCTTGTCCTGTCCCTTCATGCCTTGTCCCAAGTCCCTCTGCAGCTCTCTTGGAGCCCCTCCAGGAACTGGAAGGGGCTCTGAGTTCTCCCCGGAGCCTTCTCCTCTCCAAGCTGAACACCCCCAGCTCTCAGCCTGTCTTCACTGAAGAGATGTTCCAGCCCGTGGTCTCTTCTGGAATTGCTCCAGAAGCTCCACAGCCTTCCTTGCGCTGAGAACACACAGTGCTCCAGGTGAGCTCTCACAAGAGCAGTGCAAAAGGGCAAAACCCATTCCCCCAATCCATTCAATGTTCCTGGACCCTCATCCATTGCTTTTGACACCAGTTTGCAAATGCATGGATTGCTTTGTTCTAGCACAGCCTAGTTTAAACCCCAAAGCCCAAGTGGATGCTGTAAAAGGAGAAGCTGAGCTCATCCCACAAGTGTGTCACCATGCACATGCCTAAGCTTAGGATGACAATTAGCAGTACTTTTGGAGAGCAGTGGGTAGAGAAGCTTGTTGAGCACAGACCCACTTAGTACCTAAAGCAGCTAGTACTCTGCACACTGATTAGCTAAGGAGCTGAGAATTTGGGAGGGAAGCAGTGACACTGTGCAGTGACTCACCTGCTGGCACATTGCTGTGGAGAGGCAGCCACACAAATAGAATCATAGAATTTTTGGGGTTGGAATGGACCTTACAGATTATCTAGTCCCAACCCCCTGCCATGGGAAGGGACACGTCCTCACTAGACCAGGATGCTCAAGGCCTTATCCAGCCTGACCCTGAATACTGCCAGGGTTGAGGCAGCCACAGCCTCCCTGGGCAACCTGTGCCAGTGTCTCACCACTCTTACAAAAAAAAATAATCTAACCTAGACTTTGCCTCCTTCAGTTTGAACCCATTAGCCCTTGTCCTATCACTGCAGTTCCTAACAAAGAGTCCCTCTCTGGCTCCTTGTAGGCCCTTCAGATATTGAAAAGTTGCTCTGAGGTCTCCACACAACCTTCTCCAGGCTGAACAGCCCCAACTCCCTCAGCCTGTCTTCATAGGGGAGATGCTCCAGTCCTCTTGTCAACTTTGTGGCCTCCTCTGGACTTGCTCCAACAGTTCCATGTCCTTCTGATGCTGAGGACACCAGAATTGCATGCAGTATTCCAGGTGGGGTCTCATGAGAGCAGAGTAGATGGAAAGAATCCCCTCTTCTGACCTGCTGGCCACACTCCTTGGGATGCAGCCCAGGATTCCATTGGCTCTCTGGGCTGTGAGCTCACACTGCAGCTCATGGTGAGTTTCTTATCCACTGTCACTCTCAAGTCTTTCTCCTCATTGCTGCTCTCAGTGACTTCCCCACCCAACCTGTAGCTGTGCCTGGGATTGCCATGGCCCAGATGTAGGACCTTCATTTTGTTGAATTTTATGAGGTCTGCATTGTTCTGCCTCTTAAGTCTGTCAAGGTCTCTCTGGATGTCCCATCCCTTCCCTCCAGCTGTGACTGCCCCATACAGCTTGGTGTTGTCAGATAGAAGTCAAGATGTGAGGCAGAAGGGACCAGTTTGGCAGCTCTCATTTGGTTTTAGGTCCCTGAACCTCTTGAAAAGCAACATGTGGAAGGTAATTTGGGAGAGTTCATGCAAGCAGGAGTTGTAAAGGCAAGTGCAGCTGCTTTGCAGCAAGACCAAGGGATTGTTCTCACAAGGAGGAGGAACCTTGAGAGTTGTCTCCAGTGTGTGTGTTGAATTCATGCTGTGGGAAAAGAACCAGCTGAGTCATGACCTCTCTGCTTTCTACATTAACTGGTTTTGGTGCCTCCTCATGTCCATGCTTCATCTGTCCCATCCTGGCTCCTACTCCACCCATTGGCCTTTACTTGGCGTTGTTGCCATCCTGTCCCTTCTCCAAGGCTTCAGGGGGTTCTTACATGGCAGTCTCACGTGTCTTTTCCTCATCCATGTTTTCCACTCTCTTAAAGCTCTTAGTGTATTGCCCAAATTAGTGATATTTCCCCTCAAACAATCCTGCAACTGCAAGAAGCACAAAAACCAGTGCAGGCAGCTAAGCCTTCCAGAATGGGGAAGAATGGGACTTCATGTTGTGTCTTCTCATACTCTCTGCCTGACTTTTTATCCAGGGAGAGAGTGCCTGGACACAGGGAATGGTTTCCCACTGCTACAGGGCAGGGACAGGTGGAATAGGGGATGGCTCAGGGGAGACCTCACCACCCGCTACAACTCCCTGAAAGGAGGTTATAGTCAGGTGGGGGTTGGTCTCTTCTCCCAGGCAACCAGCAGCAGGACAAGAGGGCACAGACTCAAGCTCTGCCAGGGGAGGGTTAGGCTGGATATTAGGAAGAGATTTTTTACAGAGAGAGTGCTCAGGCATTGGAATGGGCTGCCCAGGGAGGTGGTAGATTCACCATCCCTGAAGGTTTTCAAGATGAGACTGGATGTGGCACTTAGTGCCATGGTCTAGTAACCATGGTAGGGTTGGACTCAATGATCTTTGACTGAGGTCTTTTCCAGCCTAGTTGATTCTATGATTCTGTGATACTGGGAAGGAATTCTTCCCTGTGAGAGTGATGAGACGCTGGCACAGGTTGCCCAGAGAAGCTGTGGCTGCTCCATCTCTGAGAGTGTTCCAGGCCAGGTTGGATGGGGCTTGGAGCAACCTGGGCTAGTGGAAGGTGTCCCTGCTCATGGCAGGGGTGAGATGAGATGATCTTTAATGTCCTTTCAACCCAAATCAGCCTGTGATCCTCAGCCCCATCACTTTACCTGAGCCTGGGCCATGCTTTGGTCAGGAGGTGCCTGTGGAGGTGCTCAGCAGGGCCAAGTTGCTCCTCTTTTAGGAATACAGGGATCTGTCATTCCAAGCATCATTCTGCTGTGTCAAACCCAAGTTCTTGACAGATGAGATGATCTTTAATGTCCTTTCAACCCAAATCAGCCTGTGATCCTCAGCCCCATCACTTTACCTGAGCCTGGGCCATGCTTTGGTCAGGAGGTGCCTGTGGAGGTGCTCAGCAGGGCCAAGTTGCTCCTCTTTTAGGAATACAGGGATCTGTCATTCCAAGCATCATTCTGCTGTGTCAAACCCAAGTTCTTGACAGATGAGACTAAAATGTGTCACCAGTTTGCATGTGACTCACTACTTCATCTCTAGAGCTGGGGAAGGTAATTTTAGCTGCAGCAAACTCTGAATGGCACATCTGAATGCTCTGAACTAATTATAACATGAATGGAGCCTTTCAAGAGTGTTCATTGTTTCCAAGTGTCAGGGAAAAGGCAGGATATTTACCCATAAAACCCCTGGAATTCTGAACTTCCTAGTATAGTTCTACTAATATGATTGACTAGAAGCAAATTAAAGCTTTATCTTGATGGCTCAGATTCATTTGAAGATGATATTTTGTTCATATATTAGCAGCCAGTTGAGGCTGTTTAGTGCAGGTGATCATCAAGGCATAAATTGAGGCAGATTTTTGGCAGCTCCACCAGACAATAAGCCACCACAGGAACTTCTACCAAGAAAGATGAGTATTCAATACGTGATTTTTCAGCTGCATGACATTAGCTCG